ATCATCATAGTATGATGAAACGGATGCACCGGTGTATAATTACGAATATAAGTATGCATAGGTAGGACTCGTAACCAATCACTGCCGTAATTGATGGGCAAACTTAGCTGCAGGCATCCTCAAAAACCTACGTATCCAAGGGTCAGCCCTGCCTTGTTAGGCAGCTAGTTGTACGACTGATCCACTCTCTCTAGCCGAGACGGTCGAGGGTGTTCCCATATGTGTGGTGGAGCCGGTGTTTGCTCGAAGTTTATAAACCTCTCATGGATGGGTTACGCTCTCGTGAATCAAAACATTAAATCTCGAGTGCTTGAATGAACCGTGTTAATATTACAAGGAAGTTTCCCTGGATCCGAAGAGTTGTTGCTTTCACCGATTCTCTTGAACTCATTTTCATAAGGCGGGTTGTATACAGACGAAAGAATTCCTTCCGCAAGATATTATACTTGAACACATCGAACACTCGAGAGGTGGCTAAATATGACTAATACTCGCGATAATTGATACTAACGACTGCTGGCCTCTGACGGAATTCCTCAGGGCTCGTCCGGTCCTGCTAGTCATCGATTATTCGCACCATGTCATGAAGCCTCCGGTGTCTCCTTCTGAGAGACCTTGGCTAATGTCTCTACCACTTTCCGGTATTCAGCATTAATCTCGCCTGAAAGGGAATAGTCACGACCAAGCAGGCACACATAAAATAACTCACTGCTGCTGAGTGAGATCTTGTCGACCCTCTCGTCGGTTTTACAAAGCAGAGTTGCTATATCGTCCATCTCCTGTCCTAGTCTTTTCCCAGTAAGCCGAGAAAACATCTCACGATGCAATGCCCACCAAGCTCGGTTCGAGCGAGCGCTCTCGATGGCCTCCTCGATTTTCGCAATCCGGTCCGGGCCTTCCGGAAATGGATCCCGAGGCTTCTCATCCTCCACTGTTATCCCGTCCTTGGTCGCTAGATATGATTCGATGAGTGAATCCCAAGATGGCAAGAGTTTCCATTCAAAAGCTGGTACCTCGCCGAGAGATGGAGGACTTATAGAAGCTTTCTGGTTTTCTCTGATAGAATTGCCTGACTTTGGTTTCGTTCGCTCATCGAGGCGACTACAGCGTGCACTCGTCACACGCTGAGGTGCGCGAGATTGCCTTTGCCGCTGTAGTCGTTGAGTTAAAGCCTTGAACTCAATCGGAGTCCGAGGTCTCGGCCTCGTCAAACACGCCCCTGGCGTATCGAGTGAATGCAGTGATAAGGGAGGTATTGCTGAGGACTCGGGCCGCATATGCTTTGATTCCTTCCAGATAACTGTAATAGAGCTCCTCATACTCCATTCCCAATAGTAACACGACATCGATTGTACATGACAGCAACCGACTACATGTCATGACTAGCTACTGGACACTTCCTCTTCTTGGCTGCAGGGGACCACGAACTAAAATGTAAATATGCATACATATAAGGGTCACCTTGAAACGATAGGCAATCTTTCGTACGTAGTACGATAGAAATGTCACCAAAAATCAAACCGAGTTTTCTAACTTACATCCCATATGTTTTGAGGGCCGTGCCGTCTCAGGGCGTAGTCCCCAGTGATTTCACCTAGAGAAATAATCATACTCACAAGTTTGCCTAAAGCATACCTCTCTTCTCTGAGATCATATTATGTGTTTTGTTGGTAGAATAGTAGCAGTGAGCGTGCACTTCATTTTCGGCACCAAAGGTATTCATCTGTTTGATCTTGTCGGATGCCAGGAAGCTCCCTGAATGAGCTCCTGAGACCACCGCTGATAGCAAGCCGTGAATACCCGACGCAGCATGCTTGATCACAACAGACTCATCCGTTCTGACCGGTCTTCCTTCGGTTTCGAAGCGCATCTTTCCGTCAGGATGGAGAATCTGTAGATATAATATGAATCAACAGATAACGGACTATGCGATGGGCCTACCTGCCAGCGCGTATTGCCTGCTGGCTCCTCTACAGCGCCGACCTCCTGTTTACGACTGCACTTGGAGGCCGCCAACGCAGATACCATTTCGCTATACACATAGCAATCCCTGAACACGAGCCCAGTGTGAGAAAATATACACATGGTCAAGCATATATGTAGGTGAGAAAATGAAAATTCCGATAAAATTTTGGGAAGTTCTCATTGATTCCTATACACTTCTACCCGCATTCGTATGTAAACTGCTATAATAAGTGGGAAAACTCTTATAGGAAGCTCAACTGAGGAGAGAGAACATATATTCTAACACTGCATAAGCCCACCACGAAGTGAGCGTGCGCCGTATGCCCTCCAGCTTACCTGTCCGGGACGAAACCGGAGAGTACCAATCTCACCTCGTCGCCGTAGCATACGGGAGCATCGGGGTTAGCCGCGTTCACAACCTCAACGGCGAACACATTGCGAATGCATGGGATGGCATTGGACCCTACATCTTTATCACGCGGAATAAGATGAGAAATGACATACCAGTAGTGACTGCATATGCAGGTCCCTTTCTGCCGGGTATCAAGTCCTCAGCATTGGCGTTGAGGAATCCCTCCGTTGCCGCATTCCGCAGCATAACAGTGTCGCCTGTACGATACACACCATTCGGAAGACACATCAATACAACACTAGTTTTGCGTGAGCGCCTTACCATTCCGTAGAATGCCGTCGTTCTCTTTGAATTTCGCCACCGAGGGTTGTAGCGCTCGCTCTAGCATGAGCTGCTTCGATATGACCAGCAGATCACCACTATCCTTCTTCGAGACATATCTAATGGGTATTTCAAGGCGGGGGGGGCTCCTTTGGCCCTCTTACTCCTTCATCCTGAGCTCATTCAGTTCGACCTCCTCGCACCAATTACCGATGCGACAAGTGGGCTTGTAGCGAACGCCACCGCGGAGCTGCTGAGTGGTGAATTGCATCACTGCAGTGAACTGAAAGGTACAGAGAAAGATAGAGACCTCCAATGTGGGATAGCGAGCCTGGCCCAAGTGAACAGGAACAAACGACCATCGCAGAGAAGGATGCCGTTGACGATTGCTGACAAAATAGTCTTCCGAGCAACAAGACACAATTGGCAGGAGCAAACTGAGAGCTATAGTCATGTCGACGTAGTTCTACTATGATGTGTATGTTATGAGGAGACTCGTCGTGAAAGCCTCATGAATGATCAACCACCACGGCCGACAGACATCACAGTATCTGCTATGTCGCTCAATCCTCTTGCATAGGCATGTACTCCCTCAGACTTTCAGACACCCCTCTGTGGCATCCAATGCATCGGTTGCACTGTCCAGTGACACTGATCGTGTACATCCCCAGGACCACGGACACGACTAGCCTTATGGACCAGGGAATAGGCTGAAGCATAGCAGCTGGAGTGAACGCCATTGACCTATCGTGAGTTGGGATATCTAGGTAGGACCTAAAAGTGTTGAAATTCACGGGGCATGAAAAAGTATACACTGAAAATCACTTCGCGCTCGACTCGGCGGGATCGTCATCCTTGTTCTTAACAGTGTTGTGTTAATGCTGCTATCTGCAGCAGAGCAAGTAGGAAAGCTTCACTTACTGTCCTGTACTGTACGTCGCATTTCGGAAGGTTCACTCTCCCTTGAAGCAAATGCCAAGTCGGCACCGAGATAGGTACCCATGAGCCCAACTGTCAGAGGTACTTCTAGGACCAAGGTAATCTCAGACATACGCATTGATCCGTGAAATGCCTCCTGCTGCAAAGCATTGACGAACTCAAGTGTCCGACAACTCTCTGCCAGAGAAACAATCTTTGCCAGCCGCATCGGGCGCAAGGTCCGTAGGGGGTCGACGACTCGGACATTCAACTTTCATGCTCCACGAGAGCTATTAAGCTGTAAGTGCTGCGAGAGCATCATAACTTCATGCGGTTTTGCATGGATGATAATGGTAGAATACTCTGTGATTGTTGTCATCCCCGCATGGTCACTCGAAGGGTCCCCTGCACCTGACGCTGTCGTGCCGCAGCCCATCCTAGGCAGACCTTGATCAGGCCGCAGCGAGGGTGGACTGAATCCCGACCAAGAGAGCGAACCTGGCGAGACTTGGCGTTCCGATCGTAACAGCTAATCCGAGACCTACCCCGGTCGTTTGAGCTGTCATTTGGTCGTGGTGCTAATGAAACCGAAACATCGCGTTTGATACCAACCAGAGGTGGAGACGGACCGTACCCTAGCGTGGCGACATGAGCTGCTGCGGCCGCGCAGCCTAGGCTCGTACCGTAAGCTAGAAGAAGACTTGACTGGCAGACGTGCACGCTTATCGGGCACTATGCCCGATGCCACTCATCGTCCGACTGGTACACACAATCCCCTGGTCGATCAACTAGCCGTATCCTCTTGAACAAGCCGATGTGCTTTTTGGGGAAAGTGCCGCCTCAACTGCGTCCTACCATGATGGTAGTACCATCTTGACATAGGACAACACCAACACCTGGGAAGGATCTGAGAACGGAGATGGGACAGCACGGGATGAAAGGAAAAAATTCGGAAAAAAGGTTCTATCGGGATTCGAACCCGAGTCGCAGGATTCAAAGTCCTGAGTGCTAACCAACTACACCATAGAACCAGATGAAATTGATCATAAGCATATCGTGTCCATAGGATAGTGTACTCGACTACCCTACAGTGCGACCGCTACTAATCCCAACTGCTCTTGCTCCCAATTCCGGAGGTCGAGCAGGAGCGTATCTTTGTCTTAGCGAACTGCCAGATGCCCCTTTCGACTGCACGCTATACATGAATGCCGAACTATCATCCATGGTACTCTCATAAGTGAGTCTATGACTCATATAGGATGATTCTGACGTGCAGGAGCATCGTGGAGATCCTTCACTGACGGTCAAAAGACCGAGGGTTCATAATGGTATCTTCATTGTCACGGGACCTCACCGATTGGTTGTGCCTGTTTCAAAAGAGATATCAAAGTAGATTGCAATTGCGACAAAGTCACTATCCCGAATGTTTGCGGCTTAGCCAGCTCAAGCGCAGCCCTCTGCAGTGCTTCGAATGGCGGAGGACAACAGAATTGAGAGCACTGTTCAGGCAGAGCTGCCCTCTCTTTTTTACGTTCAGTGTAGCGTGAAATGTTCTCATCAACTTATCAAGCGCGTGAGTCGACAAGGAATGCATGATATCCCCCGAGTTGGAGCCGGCTGACCTGCAGCAATGCAAGCACATCAACCCACTCACTGGCAGGGGATCCCTCGAGACCCCATCGCTGCACGAACTCCTCAATGTCCTGATCTGAAGGCTTCGGAATAGTCGGTGGCGGGTCGCTGGACATGCGAACTTGAACAAAAAATGTAATCGACCACTCAGGAGGGATATCTAACTTTTCCAAGCCTTTGAATCGTTCCTCAGTTCCCCTGGCCCATGCGCTCCATGACACTCCCTTCCACCACACTGTGCATCAGTACAAAGCAGCGTTCGGAAGTGAGAGTCCTGCGCGATTGCCATCAGCAGATTCTAGAAGGGCTGATGTCTACCGTAATTCTGAAATCCAACCAGCATGATCAACCCCACGTAAACCATGCCTCATCACTTGACAGTACCGGTAGAGTCGGCCACGCCTCCACCAGCAGGTCTGCAGAGTCAAGATTCTAGCAGAGTTAGAATTCCGGACTATCTACCTAAACACTGGCTTTTTTGCCATCGCTCGCTGGCTTCGTTCCCTCCGCTCCCGCTTGGCTCTCCCTCTGCCCAGGCGAAATGTTGTTGCTATTCGTCATCAGAGAGGACGACAAGGCCTCCTCTGGTAGAGGGACAATAGACATCAACAAAGAAACTCCTGTGGCGAGCACTAATACCCTCCCAAGTATAACTCATAACGCCAGGACAGTGAGAGACACACATCCTAGCCGCACGACTACTCCTTCCTCGACGCACTCCCATCTCGCTTAGCCTGTACAGCATTGGCTAGCCGAGCCTCTTCGAATTTCTTCCATGTTTCTCTGAGGGAAAATGAGGATTCGCCCGAGTCCCTTTGCTTAGAATGATATAGTTCAAAGTGAGCCTTGACCACAATTGCTTACTCAGTCGCATTGGTAGGAGCAGGAATAAGATTGGGGTCGAAGGGCTGGCCTAAGCAGGGACATTGTGGGCACATCCAGCTAGGGCGTTGGCACCTTTAAAAGGACTATTCTCGGCATTCCAAGCATCCTTCATGACCTCCTGCATTCGTATCTGGTCGCTCGTAGGTTTACCCTGAGCCTTTTGATTCTGGTCGAAAAGGATCTTCCGTACTGCTCCTTGGGATGCTAAAATGAGGCAGCTCACTCAGCATACCAGGCAACGTCATATCAGGTCAACCCATAACTCACAGTCATCTAGCTGAGAGAGGGCTTTCGTAGACTCCACTTTACTGGTGTCGATCTGGTCATCCCCTCGCAACACGCACTTCCACCAAGTGTGAACTGCCTTGTCCAGTGATAATATCAACTACAGAGACAATATGGACACAACATGACGGTCAAGTACTCCCCAATATCGGCTGCACGGACTACCTCCCTATCACCTTGTCACCGTCTTCTATCAGCCATGAGCTTTCCGATGGTACGATACTCATGTCTAACTCCCCTGCCAACACTGCGCTCTCATCCCTTTCATATTTGATGTCCACAGTGCTCGGTTTAATGCTCTAACAATAATAACAATGCGGCTATCTAGGCGATGGACATCACTCACCACACACAGGTCTTTTCCCTTAGTACGAGGTCGAAGTGGTACTTCTACAGTGAGGTCATTGAGTGTCTGCGTCCAGTAATACTTATCAGTCTGAGCCCCATTCCATGTGCCTGAACCCGCTCAGTTTCTGTACCAGCCATGCGTGAGACCACATTCGAACACATTTTGTAACACAAACTAACAAGGTCTACGCCTACTTATATGCTTCGCCCGATCGAGCGAGTCCGATAACTGTCCTGTTGCTCTTTCAACAGAAGTTTCAACAGCAGGAGAGGGAGACAGGGGGCCGCAAGATGATGAAGACGATGTTGAAGGTTCGAGACCAGCCTATGCCCAGTGCGCCCTTAGCGGCCGCATCCACTATTAAGGTCTTTGCTACCTCCCTCGCGACTTCTCCACCCTTGCTGCTCGCCAATTGGGTCGGTCTGGACGAGTCATGTACGGATTCACTCACGGATGATCGACAACGATTGTAGAAGCGGCCAGGGCCGTCCACCTGATAGGGCAGTCATAATGGGAAGGGGAGTTCGAGGGGCTTAGACGCACCTTACGCCACCGCTCTTTCAATGGTGTTATCTCATCGACCTCATGCTGTTGGAGATACTTCAGCTGATACTCACGCATTATCGATATGACCATATCTTCTGAATAGCCTAAAGACTCGAAACAGATTAGATTGAGACCATTTCCGAACCGAGTCGGGACGGATGCTCATACTACTAAACAACCATGTTTCTATCGACGCACCCACACGTACCCAAAGGGAACCCCATTCGATCTTCCTTTGATCTCATAATGTGGTAAAGGTCAGTCTTCCGCCCAAAGAAGCAGAAAATGGTATGTAATAGATGCTCGATGCCCTGAAACCAACCTAACATGCATCCCTCTTGGCCCAGGTCAAGGAGTAGACGATAATATGGGGGCATTGTAGCAATATAAGCCGACTACTGAGCCCTCCGTTCGAAGTAGTAGTACCTCATGTTGCTGGGCCATGCCTAGGAGGAGATCGTCGAACAGCATGAGAGGCTCTGGACTGGACGATCCAGTATGAGAACTCATTTCAGAGGAAAAGTCCAAAAAGGAGTGTCTATGGAGGTGTGTGGAAGGTGGATGTAGAATATAAGAGGATGATACCGGGACGTGAATAGAGTATTGATGGACATTAGACGAACCGAGACTTCCTACAACATGAGTTCGTTGTCGAGAAAATTGTGCGCTGTTAGTGTATCTTTTCGCCCCAATCCGAATAAGGTTGTGTTCATCCACATTTGTGAGTGAGATACCCCCGAAATGACCCCATAAACCATAAAAGGTGTTATGTAACATAACACCAATCATGATTGGTTTACCATAGGGTGTGATAGCATTTTCCGACGCATGGTTCCGCGCCCGCCCAAACCTCTTTTTGTGCTGTCCTGCAAGTGCAGAGAGCGCTACTAGTCTTCTCGTTCGCCCTGATATCTAGCCGTTTCTGATAACTCCAAGGCTGAGCTCTACTTGATAGAGCTTGGTCTTAGTAATTGGATAGCCGTCGCCTGCTCTCCCTTTTTTGGTACCGCTGGGAACGAGGTCATAAATAGCATGCTAGGTACTGCATAACCCCAGAACCGACGAAATCCTGAGCTCAAACTCATCGGGGCACGTCTGCGCCGTGGGAGAAAAATGTTAGAGTTATGTGTAGCTGCAACGCATGGTACCAAAATGCAGCTTCTTGACGGGAGAAATTTTGGCTCAGCTGTTGACATCGCCGCTCCGGGTTACGAAAGAGTTGAAGAGAAGTATGCCACTGCTACGGGTATTTCTGATGCAACCGCTTTCGTAGCAGGTATAGCTGGGATGCTCTACACCCTTGAACCATCTGTGGAGCCTAAGCTAACTCTTGCTTACGTCAAAAGTATCATCATGGACACGGCCGAAGGTATCAAGGACAGTAAAGAGGAAAAAACTCTCTCATTCGGCCGCGTGAATGCTGCGACGGCTCAGTAAGATACTTGGGAGAAAGAAGGTATAATTTTTCACTCTGATGATGGAGTCATTGATAACTTGTTCGGTGAACTCTCGTCTATCTCGATGGCCTCTCCCCTGCTGGATGGATTTTCATTTCATTCGATTCATTTATTGTAAATGTGAAGGTCTGATGTCATATGCGATCGCAACGCTGGGGATTTGGATCAAGTCATTTGATTAAGATAATTCTTTACGCCCCACTGATGAGTATGTTATTATAACTAGTGCGGTGTAATTCCAATCGACAAGCCGCTAACAATTCCCTCCTTCAACAGTTCCCTCATTCCATCATCGTATTCTCAGATGGTATAAACAATCACTCACAACAGTATACAACATCTGAAACGTCCAAACAATAAATGATGAAGCGTTCTTGTTGATCCTACAAACCTCCTAGTTATTGCCAATGTTATGCGCCACTCCACATTTTGAACTAGCAACTAGACATCACGTAGTGTTCATAGCATAATCGACAATAACGTCGCTGAGACCAGACGGTCGACGCAGCTGACGGACTGCGATGATATGATCAATAATGATAATTATATTTCGCATGTACAACATCCACTAATCAGTAAACGGATGTTAAATGTCGCCCATAATATACGGCATTATATTTCCGATCCAGAGATGGAAGGGAAGACAAGGCAAAGTAGGCGCCATCGATCGCCTTCTCTTCGCTAACGGTGGCCGGTCACCCGAGACATACTCTCCCAGACGCAGCAGCCATTGATGTTGACCATTAGCCGCCACCGCGTCAGTAGCACCAGTACACAGCCATGCATCATTCACACGTTTTTCTGATCGCAGTTCTCCACCCACCAGCAAAAGACGGTCAGAATGTAATGCCACACATCGAACGAGACATCTAGCTTGCCAACGTCTTGGTATGGTCTCGGGGAGCCCATCTTGGGAAACACCCAGCGGTGGGAGACCTGCTCAAAATATTCCGACGACGTAATAACAGCACTTCTCACATCCACAGGACTCGCTGGTCGTAGTGGAAGCCTTAATCCATGAGAACCCTTCATCTCGACTAATCCAAACGTCGGAACTGCACTGATCGACATCATTACTCGGCTCACCGATGCCTATGTGGGGAAACCATCGCGTCTATCTAATGTCGATTCTCCTTACCACCTTGAGTGATTGTTATTTCACCACCACATAAAACTAGCATACCGCTCGGATTGTGCTGAACGACAGCCATTCCTCCTCGGGGACCGAAGTCTCCGTCTAGCGTTATCTGCATACCATCAATTCACAGCATACTGAAGCCTGTCGGGCGTACCTCTTTCCACGACACTCCGCCGTCGTCCGACCTCCACACGTCAGAAAGGAACCCCGTCATAGTAGTGCCACCGACCATGATCATCGACTGGCCGCCTACCATACCAGGCGTACTCTCAACGAATACAAATTCGAAAGGGAACTCACCGTTGATGGTGGTGAATCCCATGGCCCATCGGGGTTCCCATGGGGCGCACGCAGACAGGCGTTGCCAACTTCCACCAGAGTCGTCAGAGCACCAAACGTCGTTGAGGTGGACGTTGTTCATACCAAGCCCTCCACAAACAACAATTCTGAGACAATATGAGCCTGTATTCCATAAGACATAGTAACTACTCACCTTCCACTGTGTAGAATAGCACAGGCGAAATTACAGCGCGGTGGGAATGATCCGTTCGGATCGACAGGAATGACTTCCGTCCACGTGCGACCGCCATCGGTCGACCGCCAAACGTCGTTCTTGAAGTTGAAGTTGCGATCCCATCCGCCTAAAAGAGGCTTCAACCAACGGCTTACAAAAGATGAGCTCACCAAGAAGGATCAATGCTTTGTCGTCTCGGAGGGAGACCATGCAATGCCCCATCCTCGGAGACCATTCGGCCGATAGTGCTCGATGTTCCCATGAACGACCGCTATCAACACTGCAATACCTGCAGGCACCATTCAGACGACACCGAGGGCTGCGAGAACCTACACATCGCTCATTGACCGAGACATACTGTCGAGACCACCGGCAAGATAAACGGTGTTTCCATCCCAGCATACAGTGAGGGCGTGTCCAGAACGACCATCGAAACCGCCAGGAGGTAAGCGTTGCCAGCCTGTTGCGAATGCCGCAACAGATGTGTAGTCCTGGGAAGAGCATTAGCAACCTCAAGATGGGTACATTTTACTCACCAAGAGAGATGACCCAACCGCATTGAGGACGCGCTTACGACGACAGCATTGAGTGCTCCCACAAGGGTGGCAACTTATAACCCGCTGATGAAGCCACTTCTTCCTCTGGGGTGACATCCTCAGTGAATACCTGCCACCAAAAAGTCTTCACAACGACACTGGAAGGACGAGAGTACCGATGAGTGGGATGAGCAGCATAGGATAATCGTCGTTGAGGGGATGCTGTAGTAGAGAGCGGCAGTAGAGGCTCGGGAGGTCGACTAGTCGGAGTGTTTGGACTGGACATTCAATGACGTAGCTATGTAAGCAGTAGAGACCCAGGGTTCCCTGTCATTGGTTAACGTTGGGGTAAATCTTCCGAGTGTTTCTAGCAAGACTAACACTTGCTATCTTACACCATATCAACATGTATGCACGAACTCATGGAAATCTTGCGCACTTGGGAGTTTCCTCAAAGAGGAAGCTACGGCGAAAATTAGCGAATTTTCGCTTCAGCTAACATGCGTTACATATTTACCTCATCGAGGAAAGTTGACTCAGGTTTCCTCACTCCAGCCAATATCCTCCGTTACATCGGAATGTTGAAGGGGAATAGCCAGGATGCCCATTTTAATGAGCTCACGTCTTTGATGCTCAAAGTTTATGTCATCCACGTACCTCGTCAAGCCACATCTTGGCGCCAGTGCCGCTGTTCTTTTACCTCATTTTTGAAGTCGAAAGTGTGCTACCACGTAATTGAAGTCGGTATAACTTAACTGTTGATATTTGCGTAATGATGTTGTCCAAAAAGAGTATAAAGTGTTGAGTTATGTTGTTCAATGACCCGGGCATGCTGGGGAAACCCCTGTAGCCGGCAGGAGTTAGAAACCATTCGTATATCTAGCTTATCCCACTATTGGAAGACGCGATACCGCCGCGGCGACAACACTCGTTCAGCAGGCAATGTAGTCTAGTCACTAGTAAGTCTCTATGAGGAACCCAGTAACTGATCCTGTGTGTTTCTGTACCCCCATCCTGATGTGTTGGTAAAATCAGCAGTGCTGTCTTTCAAGTCAGGGGATGCGACAGGCGCATCTTCGAGAAAGGGTACCAACTTATGTCCTTGCAATACATGTTATTGTCGCATTATGCCCTGAGTATCCGATTTTCGCTTTTATTCCGCGTTGTGGACCTCTTGATTCCGTAGGGTTATTGCACACTAGAGCAGGTTGATGGATCTCTGGATTTGCGATATCTGGATATGTTCAACATACTCCGTTATTGCATATCGACAGCATTCGCTACCGCCAGCAGTAACCTGGAAAGGATGAAGACCGGCTTTGCATTTTCGGTGGATGAGTTCACGACGGTCTGTGGGTGGTACCTGTCCCTCTGAGAGTCTCAGACTCATAGTCTCAGACTGCGACCATAAGTTCGACCATAGTGTCCGGGCCTCGGATGCTACTTTTGGATCCTACAATAGGGGACTCTACGAGGAGCCGATAGAGACGAGAGCTCACTGGCAACAACTCCGATGACGTTTCGTTCTATCATTTTATCAACTAGGCAAGTTGGGGGCGCTGAGGGTAGGCACTGATGCAGGTTTGGAATTAGAGCCCATCACTAAAGTCATACCTGCCGTCTTGCTTGGTTCAATCGCAAGGTGGCCCTTGCGAAGACTCGGCGCTAAGGCCGACATGCTTAAACACATACAGGAAGAGTTCATCCCTGTTGCTACCGATAGTGGGTCGTTCGCTGGCGGCCGATCCTTTTACTCAGTATAGGCTGATCAACAAAGTACCACACTTGCGCCCAATGTAGTCGAGCTGAGAGCCCTTTGAAAGACACGGTTGCGGATATCCTGTGGCGCTAGCCATCCTCGGCCTGTTCAGTCCGGAGGGACCTTACAGTGGCTCGGTGGGCGCATAGATCGACGAAGTCGATAGTTAGTTTGACTAGTTGGTGCTGAGAGCCATTACTCTCTTCTTTACGCTGATGGACTATAAGATGACGATGTCGTAGAGTTACGGTATATGGATCCAGTGATCGCGGATCAGGGTAGATACCGCATTACCCTACGCCACTCGAATAGGATGACCCCTATCGAGGGTAAGCTAGAGCAATGCATCCATACAAGGTCGAATGATTTTTACAGAACATAGAACGGCTGAGATTCGGTCCTTCGATGAGGATTGCCATGTAATATGCTCTGGTGCGTCTCTGCATGTGATACTGACCTCAGTTGCGTTCGAATTTGGGAATAGGACCGTGTGTTTTTGTCTTCAGCTCAGAAGGCTCGAACATCACCACAGAGAAGTTACTTCTCTGGGGTAAAGTACTGAGTTATGAGTGCTTCTGACGCGATGCCTCCAGACACGTGGGTGCCCTTCGGAATGCACTAGGGAAGCAAGTTACACCTTGAAGTTCCTAGACATACTCCCCCTTCCTCCTCAATGTCTGCCCAATGCGGTGTAGCAGCAGGAATATCAGCAGCCACTGCCCGTACCAGCCTCCTACGTGCTTTAGTGTCAATCACTAGCCAGCTCTCTACAGAACAGCTGTCTCGTCTTTATACCTTAGCAGGGGCTGCTATTGAGGTGAGAGACCGCCCACCCGTTCCTATGCTACCGCGATTCTCGCTCTTCATAGGCAACAGCCATCGAAGGGGACATCTCTGCAGCGCGACAGCTGGTAGCCAGGATGGAGGCTGAAGGCGATATTACTACTAACCCCATTAATTCGAGAAGTGGGGCTGCCTCATCGTCAGTGACGCCTCGGTCTCGTTTCAGATCGGCTAAATTCTGACAAGTTCCCCCGTTTGCCTGTTCCACTGTCCGTATATTCTTCCTTGGCTCGAGGCCTCGCTTCACAGCGACGAGGGACAGACTGCGCACGTTTGTGGGATCATGTGACCAAGTGGCGACTGTTGAAGCCAGATAACGACTTCTTCGAAGGTGCGGCCGTACACCACAGGTCGTTCGAATGCTCTCTCTCAGCGACCCTCCATTGCTGTGCTGCAACGAGGGACCCTGACTTAGCCGTAAGGCTTCTCTCGGTGAGTGTGAGCGTGCTGATAGCAGGGCTTGAGACAAGTGTGTCAGGAAGCAGAGGCTCATAGGTTACAGCTGAGTCATCTTGCTCGCTCTCACGCTCTCTGTGCAGTGGCTTACTCGAGGAAGCACAGTCAGACCGCTTGGGAGCTGTACGTATTCCTTAGCATGCCCAAAGGCCACTTTCGTGATTGGCAGTTACTCGGCGATGGTGGCCTCCGGTGAGCCTATTGCCTGCATCACGTTCGAACGTGCATTGACTGTATGCTCCACCAACCGCTGGCATAATGCAGTGCCTGCTATCATCAGATCAGCGGTTGAGCAAATGGTACGATCCTGCCCGACACGGGGTCTCTATCCTCCACCCACAGGCCTGCCCGCTCAGCGACACAGCTATCGCTCATGCCATAAGGGCTTTCCGTGCTGCACCAACCTCTGAGGAAGCTGCCATCAGCTCGACAGCTGCTGAGCTTAGACTTAGGAATGCCTGGGGTGTATGATACGATGCTGTGTGACACACGTTCCATCGTTATTGGTTATCAGGTTATACATGAAGATCATCGTATGACTCTACGACAGATGAACGCTTTCGTAGAAGTAGGTCCCAACTCGTCCGGATGTTTTCAACTGTTATTCGCAGGTGTATTGCAGTCTGGGGTACTGGCAAGAGGCTGTCAGTCTAGTCCTCTCAGCTCGGGACCGATGGCCTTGGATGGGCGATGATGCAGACCAAACCGAGGATGCAGTGTGCCATGATGGCGGCGGATTCGCAAACGTACATACTTTCAAACCGATACTCGCCGTAAGGCCTCCCAGGACATCTCCAATTCCACCACATTCACTCCTCAGACAGTGGCCAAGGAGCCCTACGAGGAATACTTTGCCGTGTGGGATGTTATGGTACTCGATAGTAGCGTCACCCCTACCGCCGACATGATGAAGGAAGCGCTCAATCACGCTTTGGTCGGTCTAAAGTCAGCCAAACGTAAGTGTCACCACCGCGAACAATATGAATGCCAACGACTCGTAGGAGTGGTTCAACTCCTCGAGCTTGCCTATTCGAGAGGCATCCCCATCTCCCAGGACCAACTCGATCAACTAAGACGGGAAGCATCTCATGTGCCAGCTGTGCAGCAACTTGTCAGAATTTGTACACATCTCAAGACTTAACAATATCAACCTTTCATGTTTCGCGTCGCTGTTTCTCGTGATTTGCTTGTAATGTTCTATTAAACCCTGTTAATGTGGGATATATTTAGCATCCACAATGATGACGAAATGTGTGAATATGCTCTTATCATTGTAATTGGTTAAAGAGTCGACTACAACAACACAACAAATACAAACGTTTATCGTCGAGGAAGCTTTCCAGGAGGTCCTCCGTCTGCTGATGCTTGTTCAGACTTCGTCTCAGCTTCCCGTTGTTTATCCAACTGTCGGAGGTATTTCTCTACATTAACACTCTCGTTGCCAAAGACGTAGCTATCTCCCTCAGCACCATGGGGCTAAGGATAACAGCACTCCTAATAACACCGATCGAGCTTAGCCTCACCTGAGCCTTCAAGTCATGCTCGTCCTCGAGGTTATCACTTCTGTTCTTCCTCTTCCTCCTATCATGCAGTTTATTATTGCCCTCAACGAACTGTCGCATAGACTCCTTTTCACGTGGTGCTGGCTTCTCCTGTGTGAGCCTATAGAAAATCACAAATCCTTATGATAGCCGTCAGTGACGGCACGTCCTACCACGGGTGATTGAGAGCTGCTTTAGCTGATAGCCGGGTGACCGGGTTCAAGTCTAGGAGCCCTTGCATCAAATCCAAACCAACCTGAAAGCTACCCAATCAACCATACTCTGACATAGATGCAGACAGTACGTGTGTTAATGGACAGGAAACAGAAGAAACTATGCCGGCCTGCGGAAAGCCAATAGCAGCACTCCTCCAATTCGGCTGTCTCGTCCTTATCTTCAATCCTTTCGCCGTAACATACCTACATAATTCTAAGTCAAATACAAGCACTTCCCCCCTAGGCTTACGATCGGAACTCGGGCCATTTGCGGTTGACATTTGGCGTCCCTACTAAGTCGAGTATCTTCTCAAGCACGTCAACCTCAGAGGCTTCAGCGAAGAGCGGATCCTATCAAAGTGATGATTCCCATTGAAGCAATATGGTGCTACTACCCGTCTAATAATTTCCCCTACTATACATCCGCATGACCACATATCGATTGCCGTAGTGTACTTGTAATCTGCTGGTCCCAATAATAACTCTAACACCGCATATCAACAACTATACCGATTCGAACGCTCCCCACCTGGTGCTCTATACCATAACGTGACAACCTTGCGAGTCATGGTGTCGATCGGCTCCGAGTACTGACGGGCCAAACCGAAATCGCAGATTTTCAAAACCCCTCTGAAAGCAACAAGGTCACTACTGTGAAGCAACCCCAGAAGATGAAGACCCAACTATGCGGAAGTATCCTTTTCGTGCGAAGCGATAATTATTATCATTATTACCGATTGTTGAAAAGTAAGTTACTTGTCTTTAAATCCCTGTGAATAATCCATCGCTCGTGCATATATGCGACACCAGAGAGTAATTGTACTACTAGCGACTTCACCTACACACAATTCATTTTCCCCTCCCTCCCTACGCCATCCATCCCCCCACATTGTGCTATTACCTCAGCTTGTCGGAGCCCTTCATCAGGTGTGAGGTGCTCCAGTAAGTCCTTCAGTTCATGCTCCATATACTCCATCACCATATAGATCTGGGTACTGCGTGCTCCGACCGCCTACACAAAGGAGTTCGATAGAAGTAGACGACGGAAACTGCCGTGGGGATATTACAACCTCTGAAACCGTTATGATATTCTCATGACGTAGGCGAAGGAGAGTGTCAACCTCACGCAGAGCTGTTAGAGGGAAGCCCGATGAGTCGTCTTGTTCCCGTAACTTCACCTAATGCGATACTAGTCGCGACATTGAAGGTAACAACGAAAAGTAGATGGTTTCACCAAGCCAAATGCCCAAACTCTCAAAAGGTATATATATGCATCATGATCTTGGAGTTTCACCCGTTTTACGTGGAGTGGCGTAATACGCGGTGATATGCAGTAGTTGTGAAATATGTTTTTCACTAGTGTTTTTCGTAGCACTAGGGTGGTGAAACTCCATTATATATTCATTGTATTATTATATGTTATTAATATTAATATTGAAATTTCACATAGAGTTAAAATTATTATACTTTATCTCGTACCATCTGTTTTTCAATTCACTTGAAAGATGGAGCCCTGCTGAGTGTATAGAGCGAGCACGGTGCCCACCTGTTTCAATGCGCATATCTTCCCGGTCGTCTTCTCTCTCGCTCGGTAAACTACACCATAGGTCCCTTCGTCAATACGATTCAACTTCTCGTAATTATCCACGGACCGACAGCCCTACGCGACACCAATTCTTCCTAGGGTGAGAAAAACCCAGAGGCGAGTGTTGGGAAAAATATGTTCGCTCTCCTCAGCTGAGCTCAAGAGTTCCCTCGGAAGTTTACAAACGAACTCGGGTAAAAGTACACAAAAACCAGCAATAGTTCCCCAAAATTTCCTCAGAATTTTCATATTCCCGCGAACACATGTGAATGTTCTCCCACACGCCGACACAGTTTCTATTCTCCTGATGATATTACGTCCAATACGGGTATATGGGGCCTCTTGAGCGGTGGTGTTGGCCGCCCAGCTGCGACCCCACATGACTTCACTTGCCCATCAGACTCGTTAGTTGGGGTCGAAGTGCTGCTCAGTTGTGTTTGAGAGCCGTCACCATTCGCTGCAGCAGCAGCCATGGATCCACTCTGCAACATGCAGTGGAGATAACGACTTGCCTTGCAGTGGATCAGACGCCACAACAACCGCATGTACGATGCCATCAACAACGCAACCGGCTTCATAACAATGATGGAAACATTATCCTGCTTTCGTCCGCCACCTTGTATAACATTGGGAGGAGAGCTCGTGTCACGTATCGATCAGGCGGTCCCCATAGTAGCAGTCGACGCAGGATGACGACTTCTTTTCCCATGCTGATTTACTCGTGTTCACCAACTGACGAAATGACCAACAGACCGTCCAGCCTCCCTACGATCGAGTTTACGCAAGGCCAACGTGGTAAACTGAGAAACCCGCAAGGAGTGATGATTGTGATACACACCATCGCGCAGGAGTCGCAGCACAGTATCTTGGATTTAACACTACTCAACCTCACTGAGGTAATCCTTGATTTCCGCAGGTGTTAGCACTCGGAATCTGAAGCGGTCAGATATAGACCCAGAAGTCACAACAACGAAGCTCACCTCTTCTCCTCAGATGAGACTATGCCAATCTCAATGTTGTGTTCATTTATAGCGCCCTCGAACCCCTCCTGAACAATAACACGCAAGATTAGCATCAACTGAGCATAAACACTCAGTGTTATAACCTTTAAAGTGAGGATAGCTGTATGAATAGCATCTTCCAATTCGATGTCTTCAGAGTATCTAACAAGAAAGTAAACCTAAGTTGGTGCCGATCTGCGTACCTCTTTTCCAGGAAGGACTTAGCATTGGCGTAGTTCTTGCCTATAGCCGAAGCCTTCCACCCGAAGAAGGCTCCACTAGGATCGACCTGACGACCATCATAGTACAGTAGACCACCAACCAAGGGCCACCCTTTTACCTGGTACAGTTGTGGACCCTCCGTCTCGTCCCAACCGGCAATCATCAATGATATGCCGAAGGGCCGGACACCACCAGACTGGGTGAACTCCTGAATAGAAGAGTTATGTCGAGGCGTTGAACAATGCTCACACCTGCATGACATTGGCAACCTCTCTTGTGAGTTGTCGTACTGGTATCTCGTCCTCGTAGGTACACCAGTACTGTTGAGCCTGACGGAGGGAGCATAATGTTTACCAAGGGTGTCGTTCATATTTCCTTGTCATTTCATATCATAATAATTCTCCTTCCACACGAATTCGTGAGAAAGGTATATACAGTTAGCTGAGAATTTAATATGCATATGGATAGTAGCGACTAAAGGGATTGGCATATGCATATGGATAGTAGCGACTAAAGGGATTGGCCTATGCATATGAATAGTAGCGACTAAAGGGATTGGCATATGCATATGGATAGTAGCGACTAAAGGGATTGGCATATGCATATGGATAGTAGCGACTAAAGGGATTGGCATATGCATATGGATAGTAGCGACTAAAGGGATTGGCATATGCATATGGATAGTAGCGACTAAAGGGATTGGCATATGCATATGGATAGTAGCGACTAAAGGGATTGGCATATGCATATGGATAGTAGCGACTAAAGGGATTGGCATATGCATATGGATAGTAGCGACTAAAGGGATTGGCATATGCATATGGATAGTAGCGACTAAAGGGATTGGCATATGCATATGGATAGTAGCGACTAAAGGGATTGGCATATGCATATGGACAGTAGCGACTAAAGGGATTGGCATATGCATATGGATAGTAGCGACTAAAGGGATTGGCATATGCATATGGATAGTAGCGACTAAAGGGATTGGCATATGCATATGGACAGTAGCGACTAAAGGGATTGGCATATGCATATGGATAGTAGCGACTAAAGGGATTGGCATATGCATATGGATAGTAGCGACTAAAGGGATTGGCATATGCATATGAATAGTAGCGACTAAAGGGATTGGCATATGCATATGGATAGTAGCGACTAAAGGGATTGGCATATGCATATGGATAGTAGCGACTAAAGGGATTGGCATATGCATATGGATAGTAGCGACTAAAGGGATTGGCATATGCATATGGATAGTAGCGACTAAAGGGATTGGCATATGCATATGGACAGTAGCGACTAAAGGGATTGGCATATGCATATGGATAGTAGCGACTAAAGGGATTGGCATATGCATATGGATAGTAGCGACTAAAGGGATGAGTACTACCTGCTTTCGGCCACGAGACAGTATGACTCTGAAGTCAGGAGGCATACCAGCGAAGACCTACCAGAGTGGAATACTCCTATACTCAGTGGCAAGGCCCTCCTCCTCCACTCGAATAGTACACATCCTATCCTGTTGGTGAAGTTGTCAACCTTGCGGATGGAATCCTCCTCAGCTAGGATAGTTTGAAACTGTACATAGCATTGGGCGGTGCGCATAGGAGGAGTTTGATTTACCTTTTTCTCGGTGGCCAGCACTACACCATTCTTAGCCTTGATTCCCAAGGCGGGTTTCCCCATCGATACTGCATTGAGAGCATACTCGATCTGACCCAGCTTACCGGAGGGGGAGAAGGTAGTCAATGAGAAGGAGTACTCGGAATCCATATTAGGCCTATAGAAAAAACAACAGCCACTGTAAGAAGGATGAAGCACTGGTGAATGTGATAATGGTCATATCCTATACGACCACTACTCAGAATGGCCGTGTATGAAATTGCAAGTCACAAAAAACACAAGAAAATAGTCTCAGCCAAGTTTCGAACCTGGGATCCCATCAAAGCAGCCGCATTTTGAAAAGCCCTCAGAAGTTCTATCACGGAAATAGATGGTTTATGAACTACATCAACTCTTCCTTCCTGTTGCCCTTTCTACCCTCGAAGTGTTTAGAATACCACTCGGCCTCGAAGTGTCCTCCCATATGACCATTGCAGGCTTTCTAGTCCAATAAGCCATGGATATTTCGGATTACCTTCGATTCAGCGATCCACGGCTTGTGGAGAAGCTTCGACAGGAGACTGAAGTTGTCGGTTATGAAAGTGGTCCACCAAGCACTGTAGGCTTATCTGCCGAGGCTTCCTTAGATGCTAGCTTGCTCCAGACTAAGCCTCTGAGTAGTACTATTCAGGGGGGGATAGGGGTTTTGAGGGAAACTGCTATGTTATGACAGAGAAACGCAAGTCGTGGCTTCCGAGCGGATTGCATGCTTTTTCGCGGTCCAAGAACGAGTGTGTCCGGGAGTATTTCCGTAAAGGGAATTATAAGGGGCAATGCACACCCCTATTCGATGGGAGAGTGGTAATATCCTGAGTCCATCCTGGAAGGTCCATCCTAGTGCCCATAACATAGGTTATTGGCCCGCAATGGCTGGCAGTGTCTCTGTCTATGCTGGTGTTACTACTCATGTCATTGAAGATGGCATTGCATATATGCCCTCGCCTTGTGGAGTCTGTTGAGGAGCTTGGTGGAGCCGTACATGGTACTATTCAGTGGCTCGTTTGCCGTCTAGTATCACTCCTTCCTCAGTTACCATGTTCTTCACGGGCCTTCTGGATTACTTTTTATTGCCGCTATCGTGGGTAATACCATACCTCCGAGAAACGAATCCTTCCCTGTGCGTGCGTCGTTAGATATTCTTCTTTCTAACGGCATTTTCTGACCCTGGTATCATACCACGTAGCAAGCCTGAAGACCATCCTGAGGAGTTCATAGCAGAAATAAGGCCCCAGCAATTGGATCAGCGGTAAGTTCTGCTCGTACTGCTTCCTCGTGGACGATTCGAGACTCCTTAGAACTGGCATGCCTCGACCTCGTTACCTGCTGTTGAATGGCGTTGCGGTGAAGCAGAAGTGGTGTCGTAAGACGCCCATTGCAGGGAGGACGAGCATTGCTGGTGTCTGGGATTAGGTACTTGTCGGATATACAGGCCTCCCAGAAGCCACCATTGTAGCGTTTGTGATGATTGTGTTACGCGATTCGATCATCATTGTGCTGTACTCGGTAGGAGTCATCTATCAATTGTAGACACCCTGTAGGCTGAATTCCATCAGGCACGTGTGTCGGTCTGGGTAACTATCGCTACTTCTTGTGCTTGATCGTTACACTAGGTAAGTACTCGTACTCTACAACAGACCATTTGCGTGATTCTCATCACTCTAGGTTTATCAAGCCTGATAGCACTAGCTCTCTGCATAGCCCATATAGTGACTGCAGGTGAGTCACATTGTTGCTATTACCTTCTTATGATTATATGCCTCAGCCGAGTGTTCTGGACAGAAGGTAGGCTACTTCATATTGGACCATCTAGATGACTTCCTCGTGGCGATATTCTGTGTTATGCTTGTCTTTGGATTTGCTGTAAGTCCTAAACCAGGCCTCGCTCGAGACCTGTCGACTCGTCCTTCTTATCACATCAGATGTTGAATATGTATCACCTGTACATCACAGCACATAATCTCTCGACCAACGAGCACTTGAAGCGATACTATAGGATGAATCCCTTCGACCACGGCACGAAGGATAACTACTCCAATATCTGTTGTAAGTGCCCCCGCCTTGCACTGTCCTTTGCATATGCTCTATAGGCACTCCTGACAAGCTCCTGCCAACTGCGGCAGGTGGGATGAATATATTTGCTAGTTACCGTAAGCGGATTGCCTTTGATTCCCCTCTTGAGGTCGTCGGGCTTTCCTCAGGCCAAATTGGTACCCCGAATTCGGACTGTCTGTCGGAACTGTATGATTGAAAGAGAAAATATTCATCATATACTTGCTACTATGGTACTCTCTCAGAGACCCAGTTTCTTACGCCTATCGATTCTCGAGTTCAAAAGTGGCTCACTTCACTTCCTCTGGCTCGTGCAGTCAAGAAGCATGCCGAGTGGTCGTAGTGTACATATGAACTGTTCGGTAGTGAAGGCGCGTTATTGCTTGATCGTGTGCATGTTGCAGATTTATGAGGTTTACGTCCCGATGACTAGTTGCACTATATGTTCGTGAGAGACTCCTCTGTGGAGGAGGCTGAGTAAGTGAGGGGGACAAATTGCACAATTTCGCGCTATGATATCAAGCGATTACTCTCTGCTTTCCGTACGGCAAAGCTTTCTTCGAGGCTTGCTGTACTTGTAGGTTACATGTCGAATCGACGGCTTCTTAGTGATGTCTGTGACTAATGATGGAAGCATAGCCTGCCAGTTCTCCTGTCATCTCGCTAGCCCCAGTGTCACCACTATGGCACGTGGGGTCAGTAGATGTACAGAAAGTAAACTCCTACAGTTAACGCATATCAGGCGTTTACCTCACTGTGGTTACCTGGTGTATGCTGGAGGGGACAATCATCTCTCTTATTGACGTAGACAAATAGGCGTACATCTAGCTATCCTTATGCTCTCGGAACTAGCCTAGTGTTGAACCATCGGCGACTGGCCTGTTTGTCGTAGTCTAGCTTGGCGATTCTCTTCACGGGGGTGAGCGTATTACTAGCGCCTTAGAAAGTGTAGAACTGTCACAGACACGCTATGCGCACCTAGTCTCTCAGTAGCTGGAAATTGGAGTATGCGTGCCCTCGTACCAGCATCGGGCTCAACCGAGCAGGAACAGCAGCGTGGCTAGCGGGTATCCAACCTTGAAGGAATCCGGTTTATCATAACGATGGTTATTCCCAGACTACCACCAACCTGCTCACGAGGCGAGAGGATAGCAGTCCTCAGCGTTGAGTCATCCCCACCTCTATGGGGGCTGGTGCCAGGTTGTAGGCAACCGCAGAAAGGGTATCGTCGGGTGTTGTTAGTTCAAGGTAGAGAGAGGGTGTTCTCGTTAAAGGTGGAAGGTCGTTCGGAAAGACCACGCTATAGTCGTAAGTATCACTTTAAGTGAATAGTATCGGCTGGGAGATCAGTGGTGGCGAAATTGAAGCCAACTTCAAGGAGTTTGGGTATATAACTGAAGTTTGTCGTCCGAGAAAGAATCTCTTCGCCTTTTTCCGTCTCGAAACTGAACGATAGGCGTCGAGCCTTCTGTTGCTGGTCACCTAGGAAAACCCTTCACGGTCGGCCTGTAGCGTTTGAACTATCAACACACGGGTCGGCAGGTATCATCGGTCTGTCCGTCGTATTGCTGTGTTGGATCTCCGAGTCGTTCAGATATCCATCTAGTTTGAGAGTACGAGTACGTAGTAGGTCTAGTAGCCTCAGCCCCATCGGCTCGGTTATTATCGATGCAGTAGCGCCATGCTCATCCCCCCGTTCGTCCCTTCTCCTTTTTCACTATCTATTCACCCAACTATTACCCTCATAGTTAATCATAGTAGCTTTTGTTCCCAAGATTTGTGTCAACGCCTCGATGTACTCTTCCTCGCCATGTCTCCTAACATGCCTGAATACACTAGTCCGAGCGTAATTACCTGGAAGATCCTCGCTATTGAGAGGAGGCCTGACATCGCGACTTCACAAGCGCGTTCTTGCTCATCGTATGGTGAAATGTAGAAACCAGGCTCTCTAGAGAGATGTCCATCCACCCGATATGTGACTTATTGTGTTCATGTGTTCATTGCTGTTATCACTATCATTCTGTAGGGAATCTTTGGTTAATCTATAAAATGAGCGCTGGCGGTTTCTCGAAGGGACCGCAGCAACATGGGGACCCCCTCTTCCCGCCGCTCAGCCGAGAGGTTCTCAAAACTCTACACTCCGTTAAGGTGAGCATCCTCATAGACCAGCAGATTCATCAATACGCTCAGGTGGACGGAATTGGTCTGAACGTTTCCCAGGCTAAGTTGAATGAACTATTTAGTCGGTATGGGGAAGTGATGGATATTTATATCCCTAAAGACAATAGGCCTGGTTTGGGTACAGGTTACTGCTTCGTGAGGTGGGGTAGCTCCCCTCAGCTATTTCGTGGGAATCGATATTGACAGGTACCCCGACATCCGTATGGCCGAGGCCGCTCTCGAGCTCGATAATCGGATTACCCTCCCGGGCTGCACTGCTCCCTTTCACTGTTCTCTGGCAGGCCGTCGTCAGATGTATGAATCCCATAATCATCGAATGTCGGCAGGTAGCACCCCGTTATGACGGCACTCCCCAGGAATGTATTCATGACCTCAGGCTCTAGTGAGTACCCCTCCTATGCTACCCCGGGTGGGTCTATGGATTCTCGCCGTTCATCCTGGAATGAAACCCGTTCAGTTCCCTATCCCTCCAGAGGCTGGGAGCAGTGGGAGTCTGCCCCTCGTGGAGTTATCACTGATGCTCGGCAGCCTTCACGGGAGGCTCCTGCCCCCTCGGAGCTCCCAGCCACGCCTGGGTTCGAGCGCTACATGATCGACAACTTTCAGCAGCGGCCTCTTAATCGAGAGAACTATTTCTATGACCGCTACTCTCACTACAGACCTCGTGAGATGATGCCTATGTCGGCCAAATCTTCAATGCCTGCTGTTGGGCGTGAGGCGGGTTTCGATGACCGGGCTCCTCGACAGCCCTATTCCGGTCGGTTGGCTGAAGTTGGCTCCGTTGATAATCAGCGAGTTCCCCTTGCCGATGCTTACTATGGAAGATATTCCCACTACAGGCCGGGTCCCAAGAGTTTTGAGAAGTATATGGGTGATGCTGTTAGAGTATAACATTATAATCTTCCTGTCTACCCTGGAAGTATCGTGTTGATGAGTCTGCAAGTAGTTGTCTCTAAATGCGAATTAGCCCGACCTTTCAATCCTGGGATTTTTAAAGGATGTAATTACGCGGTTGGCGTGAATTGGAACACCACAGCACTGGGTTGAATAAGAGGGGAGTTTTCGGTATCATCATTCCTGTCGAGGCCCATATACCCGTCTCGGCCCAAACGAGATTGGTTTTGCTACAATCAAACCACAAACACTTTTCATGTAAATGAACAGCATCGAGTGACTCGATGACTCGATCCGAGTCTTCATGCTGGCGGACCATCAGAACCACCAGTGGTGTTCCAGGAGAACGCGACATCCGTGGGTTCTAACCGTTGGTATGTAACTCATCCGCTCCCCCTGCGTGAGGCTCCGATCGAGTTTCCACTGAGGATGGAACACCCCGCATCCTGGAGGAAGGATATAGAGGGCATGCCAATCTTTGTACGAGTAGACTCAATGAGGCAGATTCCGGGTAAGAGCCATCCCGAGAGGATAAGCTGACGCTCGTCATCGCGTCGTCGATTCGATTGACGTCGAAGTGTCCACTGGCCGTTTTCGCACCCAAGTAAATCCGCTCTCAACAGTCTACCCTGATGGTCAAACAAGACACATGTCGAGAAATACTGGATGATAATATTATGCAATATTATTATCAGCATTATGCAAGGAGTATAAACGGAGTTCGCTATCCAGCGGACTTCCTCGTGCTGCGAGATCCAGCAACAACGCCACTGCTAGCACGAGACCATTCCTTGCGTCTAGACGTCACAGGGGTAACGGAGCGGACACCAGTCAAGTGCGCCGTGGGGACTCGGGTATTCTGAGCCGGCGGAGGTGCGGGAGACATCTGAGAGCAGTGGACAGCTTGAGCCAACTCGTAGAGCTCACCATAACAGCCTTCTCCCGATCGATCGAGCCATCGTAGCTGACGAAAGGCAAACTCTGAGTATTGTGCTCCTTCCGGGCTCTTCCCGCTTCAGTGATGACAGCCATAGTGGAATTGGTGGCCATGAGAGTCTCTCGTGCCACAAAATTAGTCGATGAATTATCCTGAGTTTCACTCAGGGCTCTCGACAATGATCAATTCGCAGGCTACTTGGGGTCTTGATTCCGATCCCATAGGATTCGTAAATGTTGTCGCCGATGGAGAGCCGAAGAGACGATTGAATTGCTCCTCGGCCTCGCTCTCATTGGAAGGTTGTCCTCCTGAGAGAGGGCATGGCACCATGTCGTCAAGTGAAGCGAGCAATCCGCATGCTTTGGTCGCTACCTTACCCAGCAGGGACATAGCCTCGAAGTTCAGGGCACACACACCGCGCATGAAGACACGCTTGAGATTATCTTGCATCATACGTTTTGTTTGCAGTTCCTTCTCCAACTCCGCTGTGAGGTCGTCTATTCTAGCCTGAGGAAGTATAGTATGAGCCATTCGCGAAACATCGCTTCCTACCAGTAGTGTCGACCTCTCCTCCTCCCAAGCCGCTGAGTCACTAGCCCGTATGGTTGCATTGGCTAACTCCGTATCAGCCTGCTTCCGAGCCGCTGCCCCTCGTATAGATCGGAGCCGCCACGATATGAAAACCTGGCTCGAAAGCTTGCACCTATGCAGGGCTCTCGATAGCTTCGACTTCGTCTTTTCGTCCAACTGGCAGGAGATAAAATTATCGCACTTAGACTCTGCCAATTGAGATGACTGACCCGCAGCCGATTGTATATTTTCCATCGAGCCATCATCCTATACAGCAGAAGCTTCCTGCTTTGAACTCGTTGCTGCTTATGGTTGAGGAACTGGACGCCTTTGAGCTGTTTTTCAAGGGCTTCGACTCGATCATTAGCTTTACTGAACCAACAAAGCGGATGAATTCCCTCACGAGAATATCACGTTCGAGGGCGACAGCGAAAGACGTACTCGAGTTGGTCATTGAGAGCCTTGATAGTCTCCTTTAAATTGACCTCACTGGCTTGGGTGTGCATTCTGGCCGCAGTCGACTCCGCCTCATGTCTCCGCATAATACGTTGACGTGAATCCATGAAGGCTTTCATCGCAGTGCTTCGAAGCTTGTTGACAACCTATGGACAGATCCGATACAGCCTCGACGACGCCTAGTAACGACATAGCCGTTGAAGAGCCCTCACTCCGTCAAGGGCCTTCTGGAAGTCCTGCATGTCAGCTCGAGCCAGAGTCGTCTTGGTCTCAGTTCGAGGCGTTTCTTCAGGGGACGGGAGTTCATCCGTCGGGCTCGGTGGCATTACTATATTCATTGAGCTCGGCCTAGCAGCCACATTCTCAGCATGCAGTTCACCACCGTATGCCAGTGTCCGCCCTTCCGGCTCGGCATTGACCTCCTCGACCAACCTGATTCCCTCTGCCTCTATCTCGCTTTGCTCGTCGAGCAACCTTTCCAGTATTGAACTCGAATTACCATCGTCAGCAGTGCAGAAGTGAGCCCCTTCGCTGACTTCAAGCCCAGACATACGATGAAGGATTATATCAGATGTGCCACGGGAACTCTCCTGCCCATAGAGTTATCAAATTAACATCAACCAAGCGACACGATGTGCCAGAGGAACGGTATCGATATGATGTCTATTTACGTAAATCAAATTGCTATTCTTGATCATCGACGGGATGATACCGGAATCTCCGCAACTTCTTGCCTCTCTTGATTCGCCGCCAACCACTCCTCCGGCTCGTCCTGCACAGCCGTGAACTCTCGAGCATATCCCTGTATTGCACAGTCAGCACTGCATGTGTAGACGACAACAACACCAAAGTCAAAATCACAAGACGCCTTGTACACGAGCTGTGGTTGGATTTGAAATTCGAACTCCCGCGGTGCACCACACAGTTGGCAGCGTGTCGGCATACTAGGCTGCTTGCCCATAGACGTCAACCACATCGGCTCTCCACCACGGCAGTAGTAGATGACGTGACCAGGGTTAGCCTTAGCGAGCATCTCAAAGTCCTTATGGGCTTCATCATCAGCATCTATCTCCGGACAGAGTTCTTGGAATGCCTCTACCTCCGAGTCGTCCATCATCTCATCCTTCCTCTGATACTCTTCGAGTAAGTGGCTCTCGTCTCCAACTAGATCGGACTCCGAAACGTCACCTTCGCTGTCGGTCATTTCCTCGTCGCACTCGTCAATGGACAAACCGAATTCATCAATCTGCAGTTTCCATCGACTCTCAAGTCCCTTCCGACAGGCCACATGCACTCCTTGACCGTCACACTCAGCAACATCACGTGGGAGACCACACAAAGAACAACTCCTAGACGTAATAAGATCGTCATCCACAGCAGTGTCGTCCTCTGAGGCCGGGATAGGGGCATAGTAGGCGTTGTTCCACGGCAGTTGTGACCGCAACGCTCTGAACGACCCCGGGCAGCTCCTACAAGCAAATACATATATGGTCCGATGAAACGCGGCGTCGTTCTCCCCAGGAGAGTAGACTTGAGCCAGGAAGGTCAGCGGTTGATCACAGTTATCGCAAGTGAGATCTCCCGCTGGCAAAAGCTCCGGATCGAGCCACGCCGGAGAGCCACCGATCTTGCTGGGGAAGTAACGCCGTTGAAGTAGATGGTCTTGACGAGGCTTCACAGTGTAACCGACCAGAGGAGTAGGGCCGTCCTCTGTGGCACTCGAGGCATCTGATTTAGAGCCATTACGGGGAGAGGACACGTCCATAGTCATGGGAACTGGAACAAGGTTGATGAGAAGTCACGGTAGTGTGATATTCGTCGAGCCGACGCCCCAGTAGAGGCAGAGAATGCGGTACCCGACACAGTCCTGTCAGGCCCAGAGGTTACGGGGACTATGCTCACATTTGGAGTCCAATCGAATTATTCAAAAAACTATTACTTCAACAATTCACGCAGAACGTCAGAAAATTACCCCCTAAATTTTACATGTTACCGACCTCAAACTATACAGCGATTCGGAGCAATTCTCATATATCCACAGAACCCCTTCGCCAGGGTAAGAATTCAGCACACATATATGTGCTAGTTTGCCACCTTTTCACGAAGACCTTCAATTCGAGTGCTCCCTTCCTGTTCACCTGTGGTCGCCTATTGCGGTCTCTCACTGACTCTACGAGCGTTATCGTCTCACCAACAAACGGCTTTAATCTCTCGTTAATCGGCCATATCTCAATCCCAACAGATAAAGCTCAACTCTATGGAGTTACTATTATGAAACCATGTGAGGCCCTTTAGAATATCCATAGTACTACTACCACGGTACCAACAGTAAGAATAATCATGAGGGGGATGTGATACGAACAAAAGATGAGGTCGAGCGCAGTCACTTTACCCTTCTCAGGATTGTGCTCGAACCGCGCCCACCACAGCTCGAGCCTCGCTGGCCAACCCTACTGTGTGAAACCGTTTGGTTCGCCGGTTGAGTAGTCTGGAGCCACTCAGGGTTAAAATGGGGTGTCCCGAAGCCAAGGTGAGAGCTCGATCCTTCCTGGCAGGAGGGGGATCAATAACTGGTACAGTGATTGCCGACTCTGTGGTGAGCCTCTCATGGTCATCCAGTTTCGAATTCACAAGTATAGTAAGCTCAGATGAGTCGATGGCACGGAAGGTACCTACTATCGAAGGTACCTACCACACCGTGAGCTATGCCCACACACCAGCGGTCCACAGATTATCCCAGGCACGTCGAGGGCATTCCTATGCACAGTCCGGCGTCGCAAGAAGGCATACTTTAGACAATCCAACGAAAGTATGCAACCTACAGTCTGGCTTGAGGCATGCCCATGTTGGATCTCCTGGTCCCTCATCACGATGGGAAGACTCTGCTGATGAAGACGAGTCGTGTGCTCTTACTGGAGCGCTGACATTCGGGTCTGCCAAAGGAACTCCTATACCGACATACAACTCTATAGCCTTACACAGCTTCTTCATAACGTCTTGCACAACGGGGCATTGGCCTGTTGTCGGTTCTGTCGCCGTCTCGTCAAAAAGCTGCCCCGATGGTCCCTCCTCCCCCGAGGCCCTGGAGCACGATGATTCGTGAGATTGATCCGTGGATCGGGTATCTCCCATCAAGGTCGTTTAAAAGACTGACAGAAATACAAGCAGACGCTTCATAAACTCAAGCGGAGACACTGAGGAAAGGAGTTCACAGTAATATCACGGGCTGAACAGGCAAACATCGCGCTGGTCTCAAATCCACAAAGCTAGAGTGGCCATCGCCCCGAAACCAACGAGAATCGCAATAAGCTTCCAAAAACGGCCCTCGGCAGAAGCGAAAACTTTGGGGATTATCTCCATCGAGCTCACCTAAACAACATTGACGATCAGTGTGGGGCGTGGTATGGCAACGCCTTACTTGTAGGAAAGTGCCCGACGCCAGAGCCTTGCATACGGCCGTGAAGACAGCCGCATCGTGCGCACTCCCTCCCGAGGAGAGGCCAATGTTACCAAACAGCGCACCGATCGGGGTACCTGGGAACCGAAGAAATGTTAACAACCTAAGACAAGCCATCTCGTCCTACCAGCAGCGAATATGAGGCTGAATACAAAATAGCGGACCCCAGAGACCGAGGATTCGACCAGGCTACATCCCAATGCGAATGCTGCTAGTGCCTAAGACATCATAGACAAGTAGATTATATGACGCTCGAGAGGATGCGGGTGCAATACCTTGTGGGCTAGTATGGCTGTTAGGACAGGCACGACCTCCCATGCATGCGTGGCCGATCCGATACCCAGACCCTCCATCACCGAGTGGAAGCTGAAAAACGTTGCAGTTCAGCGGAATTGCCGAGTTTTGACCCAGGGTGTGAGAAATATACACATGGTCAACTACATGTGTTGGAGAGTTAGCAGTGGTGACAACATGAGGAATTTCGAGAAAATTTTCTTGAGAAGTGTTGCTGGTTTCTGCACACTTCTACCAGAATTCATATGTCAACTTCTAAACTCAGTGAAATTCCTGAGCCCAGCTAAGGAAAGCGAAAATTTTGAGCAGAGAGTCACCTCAACGCGATGAAGAGTGTCATTGCGCCTATCTCCGCACACGGCCCAGCCTTCAGAACCATATGCTTCAGCTGGAGATGATGATGGTGATGATGATGCTGCCCGAGAAGTGGTTCTAAAGCAAGCACCATGTTCCCATTGATGTGGGTCTAAGGCACGTAGTAATCCCTACCCTCCGGATCCACCTTGTCGGTGCTGTGGCTTCCATGATGGTGATGAACATGGTCATGCTCATGTACTGGACAACACTCATTGTGGTATCGTGGCAGAAGTGGCTGAACCACACCATCCTCCTCCTCTTTTGCATTACGATTGTCGATCGCCTGCCACCAAAGGTAACACCATTTCTGACTAATCTGAGAAGAAGGGTAAGCTACTTCACAACAGCTATCGTTGGGATCCTCATCTTCGCAACATCCATGGGGACCAACGAGCTCTTTCCTAAACAGAGGAGAGAACTTCATCCTCCAGCGACATCGTGTCTCCTCTTTCACCTCGGTAGAATAGGGAACTGAGTTTTATACGTAACACAGGCAGCCTCCGAATGGGGAACTGCTGTGCTTGCGGGTAGTAGAGCCGACACAATCTCTTCAATGCAAAGTAGGAAGAGGAACGCCATAGCGGCTGAAGTGCACGCCAACAAGGCACCTACAGCACTTGGTGAAATAAAGTGTGATAAAGTTGGGAAAAATTACCATACTGCGGCTGAGAATCTACGTAGGTATCGACGAGTTCCCCAACAGCATCGGGCAGCATATGGCAGAGTCCAGCAGCGAATAGGACACCAGCAGTGAACGCTTGGGAGACCGAGAACAACAGCGGCATCTTAATTCGCCCAACCTGAACAGCAACACTCCCATCGGACCGAAACCGCCTGTAAGCGTCTAGGAGCCTTCTAAGAGAGCACCCTCAATGAGTAGCATGTAGTAGTACCTCCTTTGCGGCCCATAACCCCAGCAAGGCTACTGATGCAGCTGCTACTATTGCCAGTAGCTTGACTGTATAAAGAGGCATGGTAAGATACAGGGCACTGACTACTACAGGGATAATCACCCACAAAACACAATCCCCTACGGGCCTCGATGCTCAACTTATAGGATATCACGACGCACATAAAAACCTACGTCAATGCGGGGCCGCATGGAGGAACTAGAAGGTTTAAAGATGTTCAGCACTGACGAACACACGTTTTGGATTTGTCGTAACTCCGCCGGAGATACCCCGAGATAGCTTTGGTTCGAATTGGTTTCAAGGACATGAAGTAGTCTTCTTATACGCTTGGTGACGGCATCAGTAAAGTGCTCCTTCTACCCACGTCAATTGTTCGGAAGTCAATGAGTTCCTAAGAGACAGAGCCTGCAAAAGGAACTAAATCAACCCGTATCCATGTTATAAGGCCCAAAGGGATGTTATTGTGTGGGGACACGCGGCAAACATTATCCCGAATGGTAAAGACCCAAAGTTAGAACACGACCTCCTTCACAATGATAGAGTATAGAAACGTCATCCTATAATATCCATACATCATCGAGGAACAGTAACAGGGACAACACTGGGACCAACAACAGTTAAGGAAGGAAGAAGGGCGCTACATAGGAACGTTGGGGGTAAGCATACGAACAAGCACATTGCTCATGCTGTTGGGCCTGGTACGTGTCTAGACTTAACATATCATCAAAACATATACAAAAGACTACATTTCTACTAGGAAGCAGTTGACCAGCCACCAGCGTAACGAAAACCAACCGTTTAAAGTATATGGGGAATATAATCCGGTACTGAAATAGGCTAAAACGGCAGGAAACCAGTAACAAGATAAGGTATTTTCACTTCGACATCGCCCTTCCCTCAGGAGGCACCTCCCCTGCTGGGACTTTCTCAATACAGAAGAGCCACCCAACAATCAATGCTAGTGGTGCACTCAACACCGACAACAAGGCGCCTAACTTGGCCTCCTCCAGAAGGGTCGGTTCCGTATATGCTGACTGCGCTACAAAGAGAGCCACCGTGAGACCAGCGCCGGAAACTATACCAACGACAAATAGATGCCTGTAGGTCATCCCTTCCGGTAGACCCAATCTCATCAGATAACTAGCAATCCAACCAAAGACGAATATACCCAAGGGTTTGCCCACGAGTAGAGACAGGGTCACACACAGCGTCACGTAGCCTACGGACTCACTAGTGAATTTGATACCAGCGTTGGCTAGGGCGAAGAAGAAGAGACCACAGTGGACCCAGAAAGCACAGTCATAGTCAAACTTCTCCAGGGGGCCCGGGACCACTCCACTACCTAGCGGTGTCGCGACGGTCTCGCTGCTGGAGTCGCACTCTGATGTTTCCTCATCTATAGACTCCTTATTGCGCCATCTACGCCACAGTTTAACGAAGAAGTTGGGTTCACTGGTGTCTATCTCCTTAGGCATGAAGGGGACAATAAGACAAAGGGCCAGAGAGGCGTGAACAGACGCCTCCAATAGACCATACCATACCAGAGGACCACCTAGGAACACGTACCATGCCCAGTGCTTCAGCTTCAACGTACGAATAAGGAACGCCACTGCACACCCTGCCACACACAATAACAGATAGATGTACTGTGGCTCGTGCGCTGATGGGTAGAATATCGCAATGACCAGCATACCTCCCACATCATCGGCTACAGCCAGAAGGAGTATAAATCGGATAGCAGCATGTCCACCGCCGAAGACGAATGATGCTACTAGCCAGGCGATTGAGATATCAGTAGATACTACAATACCCCACCCTTTGAGTACAGCACTGAGGTCCTCATCATAGTTATCAAATCCACCACAGTTACTTATGATATAAACCAAAGCGAAAAAGACTACGATAGGACCGAGCATTCCACCAAGGGTACCTAAAATAACAACACACTGAATAGCGGCAGCGCTCAGCTTCTTACTCATGAGAGGAACAACGGCCTTGCTCATAGGGGACAGCGAGCCGCCTGGTAACACTGCTACGACTACTTCAACCATAGCAATGCCGAAGAAGAAACACATAAACACGTCGTTGAGGAGGAAGTTGAGAGTAACCTGAGCAATGCAGTAGACGCAACTCCCTCCCATTGTGAAGTACCGGTTCGCCAGCTATATGGGCACCACCGAGATCGAGCGTCCTCTCCTCATCATTTCCCCACAGGTAGACATAACTGTCCTCGTCAATGTTCGCCCAAAGGAGGCCAGCCACAACTCCCAGCTGTAGTGGTATGAAGTACGTTGTCACTATTCTACGAATGTACAGATACCAATGCCTCCACGTATTGAGAAACCTACACCCAACAACAACAACAACAACAATCACTACCATCCTCCACAGCTCCAACAGCAGTCAAGGACTCCTACGTCACGTTATAACTATGACTTCTCGGAACACACTCAACGACTGTGTTATGATATCGCAGTAACAAACAGCGGGGGGAAATATGCACATGCTAGGCTATGTGTTGGTACCCATGTGGAAATTCTGAGAAAATCTTGGGAATTCATTTTTGGGTTCTACCCGAATACGTACGAAAAATACTACAGTACGTGTGTAAACTCTTGAGCTCAGCTGAGAAAAGCGTACGTATATTCCCTTTGATGATAATCCTCGACAATTTTATTCGGCCTCGCCCCTCTACTACTTCCGAGGATTCTTCACTTCAGCAACGAGGGTCTGGTCATGGCCTCTGAAGAATCGATCGTGGGACTCCAGTGCTAGTTCTACCCTCAGACGAGTCGCCTCCGATGCGAGGGCACCATCCGTCTCAGCACGCTTCACACTCTGGCAAGCAAGGTATACCCTACCATCTTGCCCAGCGATCATCACTTACATCTACGTATACATCACGAGGGATCCTAGTAGGCGAGGCCTCTCTGAACTCCGAATCCGTCCTTGGACGAACGAAACGATTATGCTGTGGGACAATAGTCGTCTTGCTACGAGGCACCGTTAATTCCGGCACCTGAAGCCACCAGCTATCCGTACTATGCAACATCTATAACGTCGATTACCTCAGCGAACGTCGCGTGCTTCCTAACTGGTATTTTACCCATCGGAGGGGTCGTAGTGTAGAGGGAGCTGTGTGAGTCACAACATTTTTCACAAGTCATTCACGAGATTCAAACTGATCAACAACTGTTACTTCTCAAGTTCTACTGTAACATGAACATCACCCCATACCAATGCCGTATAGATGCAACTGTTGAACTCAAAGCCAGCGATTATGACTAAGAAAAAACCTCCCGGGAGAAATGCAGTAATCGCTCCAATGGACCATGACGAACTCTACAGAAGTGCTGTGAAACCAATAAGATGATTATGAGAAAACATAGACAAGTTGACGCAGAAGTGGTATGACATGTCTCAGTTCGTGACAATTATCAGGATCTTTATACACTGATACGGAGGCGATCAACATAGACGAGCTATCCTTCACACCTCACAATTCGAACGATATCAACAACAACAGACAAATAGGCAACTATCACGACCAAGACGACACTACAAACACACCACGATGTGATCGAACCCTGCGAAATGGGAAAATCTAACGCTTCTTACTGTCACTCTAAGTAGGTGTTCATTTGCTGGTGGATGATTCCCCAGCAGCTACCCTAACGATTCGGAATAGTCTTCCTGTGACTATCGCAATAGGAGCACAAACAGCAGACAGTAGAGCTCCCAATTTCGCCTGGGCTAACAGGTCCGGCTGGGTGTACGCCGATTGAGCCACGAAAAGAGCAACAGTCAGGCCTACTCCTGAGATGATACCAACTACGAACAGGTGCTTAACTGTCATACCATCGGGTAGACCAAATTTAAACACAGTGCTCGCAATCCACCCAAAGACGAAAATCCCTACAGTTTTACCAACAATTAGGGAGACTGTGATAGCCAACGTGATTAGACCGATAGATTCTCCACCAAACTTAACACCGGCATTTGCCAGGGCGAAAAAGAAAAGCCCACAATGTACAAAAAAGGCGCAGTCGTGATCGAACTTCTCCAAGGGGCCGTCTACAACGCCCGTCGATGACTCACACGTCTGTGAACACGCACTCCCACTTGATCCAGTCTTCGTGTTCTCCTCAACGTTCCTATTATTGCGCCATCTACGCCACAGTTTAACGAAGAAGTTGGGTTCACTGGTGTCTATCTCCTTAGGCATGAAGGGGACAATAAGACAGAGGGCCAGAGAGGCGTGAACAGATGCCTCCAATAGACCATACCATACCAGAGGACCACCTAGGAACACGTACCATGCCCAGTGCTTAAGCTTCAACGTACGAATAAGGAACGCCACTGCACACCCTGCCACACACAATAGCAGATACATGAACTCCGGTTTATGATCTGAAGGGTAGAAGAAGGCGATAATAAGCACGCCTCCAACATCATCCGCAACAGCCAAAAGTAAGAGGAAACGGATAGCAGCATGTCCACCACCAAATACGAATGAAGCCACCAGCCACGCGATGGAGATGTCCGTCGCTACAACGATACCCCAACCATTGAGGAGATCCGACAAGTCGTGTGGGGAGCTATCAAATCCACCTAGGGCGTTCATGGTTAACATTAGGACGAAAAAGACCGTAATAGGACCGAGTATTCCACCTAGCGTACCTAACACACACATAAACTCCAGCGAAAGAGGAAGAGGAGGAGCTTATACCCATTAATGGTACGATAGCCTTCTTCACTGGAGACAATGAGCCCCCAGGCAATACAGCCACGACTATCTCAACCATTGCTATGCCGAAGAAAAAAGTCATGAACACATCATTGATGAGGAAGTGTAAGGTCACCTAACATAAGGAGCAAGTGGGAAGCCACAGAGAGTATTCCCTACATGATGATCAGCAATACTGAATCCCAGGTCCAAAGTTCGCTCAGTATCCGTACCCCATAAATAAATATAACTGTCCTCGTCAATATTAGCCCACAA